TAGCTGGGACTACAGGCGCCCGCCACCACGCCCGGCTACTTTTTGTACTTTAGTAGAGATGGGGTTTCGCCATATTGGCCAGGCTGGTCTCAAACTCCTGACCTTGTGATCTGCCCACCCTGGCCTCCCAAAATGCTGGGATTACAGCCGTAAGCCACTGTGCCTGGCCTATTTTACTTTATTATTTTATTTTGACAGTTTCACTTTGTGCCCAGGCTGGAGTGCAGTGGCATGATCTCAGCTCACTGCAGCCTCAACTTCCTTGAGCTCAGGTGATCCTCCCACCTCAGCCTCCCAAGTAGCTAGGACTACAGGGACATGCCACCACACTGGGCTAATTTTTATATTTTTTTGTAGAGATGGGGTTTCTCCATGTTGGTCAGGCTGGTCTTAAACTCCTGGGCTGAAATGATCCTCCCACCTTGGTCTCCCAAAGTGCTGGGACTACAGGAGTGAGCCATCATGGGCGGCCATAAGCAGGAAAACTTTAGAATCAGTTGTTTCTGGCTGTGAATTCTACCTACATCACTAACTTATTGTGTGACCCTGGGATATTTACCTACTTGACCTCTCTAAGCCTTTAGAAGCAAAATCATAATCTTGACTGACAAGATAACCAAGAAGTAGATAAGATCAAATGTGAGGTGCCTGGCAGAGGCCTGATGCATAAAGACCTGGATAGAGTCTACTTCAAATAACTCAACTATTTCTTGTAGCTTCTCCAGGGACCCTGTTTTTTTCACTCTCTGGCTCCCTCCCACCAAACTTCTACCACACGGCATGAGGCGTGTGAGGAGTGTATTACTCTTAAAAATAGAAAAGTGTAGCTGTCCTATTTTTAAGAATACAACCTTGGACACCTGTACTGCAAAACCTCCATGTTAGAGATCTATTCCACTCAGAAAAAAACAAAAAGAAAAACTTAGATGCAGAAATAATAAAGCCAACTTCCAAATGATGAGCAATCTACATTGCTTTCCAATTTCTGCGATGCTCCATCAGCCTCCCAGTCCCTTTGCCTCTGTGCACTGCAATACCGGTATCCTCATAATACTGTGGAGGGGCAGGTAGGGGTGAGGGGTATTTCTGCATATTGGAAGTGTGAAATTTGGCTTCCAGAGTCTATTGTACTGCCTCGGCTTCAGCAGGGCCTTACTCTTTTGCTTGGTGAAACCAAACCAAGAAGCAGGCCCAGGACCATCTCCAACTGAAAACTTCATGTGTTAAGATATCACTGGTGACTTGGTAAGTATTATATTGCCATGTAAAAAAGGTTTAAAAGTCCATATTTTTAAGAGATGTACATAAATGTATATATGGGGTCAGGTAATAGATAAGCTTTATTTTAAAATAATTCAGCAAAGGGAGAAGTAAAGAGAAGGATACATGAAACAAATGTGGCAACATCTTGATAACTGTTTAATCAGGGTGATGGGTATGATTGAGATTTATAATATTATTCTCATTATTCGGTCCCATTTTTGGGTTTGAACATTCTCATATGTAATTTTAAAATCTGAAAATTTTTAAAAACCTTCACATTTTTAGGAACAATACATATGGTCTTGTAATCAACAGGCACATGAGGCTTGTCTAATATCCTAGGCATCTTTCTCCATCTCCAAAAGAGTCTGGTAGGATCTGGTCTGGTCATGTATTCCATCAAATCCTCTGTTCTTCCTAGTCCAACAGAGTATGTCTTTTAATTTCCAAGCACATATTTCTGAAGCCTTGAATAAGTTGGGGAATTGCCATTTTCTCCAACATTACCATCCAGACACTTATATATGTTTTCAAAAGTGAAACCATGAGGTAAATCTAATGAACCTCTAAAGCATTATAACAGGTAAAATAATCCTGACACAAAAGACAACATATTATATGATTCCATTTACATGAAAAGCCCAAGAAAGGCAAATCTATGGAGACAGTAGATTAGCAGGTCATGGGGCTGGGAGTGGGATAGGCACATACTGTAAATGGGCATAAAAGATCGTATTGGGATGATGGAAATGTGCTAGAACAGGATTGCGGGCGATGGTTATACAACTCAGTTGCCAAAAACCATTAAATTTTAAACAGGCGAATTTTACTGCATGTAATTATATCTCAATAAAGTTGACTTTAAAAAAAGAAACATAGGTAGGTCACAAGCATTTTTGGTTTTTTGAGATGGAGTTTCATTCTGTTGCCCAGGCTGGAGTGCAGTGGTGCAATCTCGGTTCACTGCAACCTCCACCTCTCACGTTCAAGCGATTCTCCTGCCTCAGCCTCACAAGTAGCTGAGACTACAGGTGTGTGCCACCACACCTGGCTAATTTTTGTATTTTGGGGAGAGACAGGGTTTCACCATGTTGGCCAGGCTAGTCTCGAACTCCTGACCTCAGGTAATCCACCTGCCTCAGCCTCCCAAAGTGCTGGGATTACCGGCGTGATCCACAATGCCAGGCAGGTCACAAGCATTTTAAAATCATTTATTAGTCATGTAAAACATTTTATATTTAAAATGAACTATAGCGCATCAACTTGAGATTTCACAGTAGTGATATAAACTTTTCAAATAACTTTCTAAGTTAAAAAGATGAGTTAATTTAAACCATTGCTTTAATTAAATTATTTTAATTTACATAATTAATTTAAATAAGTTATTATACAAACCAGAAGTTTTGGTGAATGCTAGTTATTGATTCCCAAATGATAAAATCCCAGCTCTGTGTGTGTGTGTGTGTGTATTTTAACTTCAAGATCAATAATAAATATTAAATGGGATTATGCTGATTAAAATGCTTTGTAAATTGCCAGTGCTGTACTAACAAAAGAAAACGAATGGCTTACCTAAGCTGCCTTCTACTTTAATACAAAAGAAATTCTTACAAGTTTATGACAGACAAGAGACTCTCCAGGTGTGGCAGGAATTGATTTAACCAGTAATGCTGCCTCCCTTTTCTAGGGTTTCAATTTCTTCCTTCAACAAACATTACTGAATGCTTATCATGAATCCACCAGGTGCAGGTCCATGTTCTGGATCTCAAGAGATGCACAGTTGTCTTATTCCTCCTCTTCCTCCAAGCTAAGACGCTTTACCATGAAACCTCTACTGGACTGAGGTGCAGCAGCCCCAAGCCCTTTTCTGGTTGCACTTGACACAGCTGAAAAGGGTTGGCATTTTTCAAACTTTCCCAAATATTGAGGGTGGAAAAAACCCCCACAAGAGTACAGTCAAGTTATTAAAGTGACAGAATTACAAAACAGAAGATTGGGGTTGGGAAAGAAAAAAGAAATGCTCCCCGGTTCCCACCTAGATTTGAGTTCCTAAAATCCTGCCTCTTGCACACCCCTTTTTCTTTCTAAGGAAGCTAGTATCTCCCACCTTCTCAAGAAAACAATGAGTGCTCGATTAGATTTAAATCCCATCCCCAAAGAAAGGAAGCAGTCTTCTAAGTTCTCAGCCCCATGAAAACCACCAAGCACTTTCTCTACCAATCCCCATATTTCCAAGACTAGTTTTCTCCTGCAGTGTTGTCGCAGGAGAAAAGGGTCTGGAGGCAGGAAACCTAAGGCCGATTCACACTGATTTCCTAGAACTGAATCAAAAAGAAAACCCCAACTTTCCACACCTAAGTAACAAAAGAACCAGACACTACTCCCTTTGCAACCCCCTCCCCCCCACAACCCCCCTACAACTCCCTCCCACATACAATACCCCCCAATACCCCCCTCTCAACACCCCTCCCCCCAACACACACACACTTTTTCTGTGTGGCAGATGGGAAATTGAAAGTATCTCTGATTGGTTGCAGAAAGCAACCAATCAGACATTTGCATAGGAGTGTAACTTTGTAACTTCTCTTTAGCCTCTGATTGGTTGCTTTTCACAACCAATCAGACTGATTGTGGAGTCACTACTTCATTTACATAGGGTGTACACCAAGTAACCCATGGGAAACCTCTAGAGGATATTTAAACCCCAGAAAATTCTGTAAAGGTAGTCTTGAGCTCCTCTGCCCTGGTCGCTGCCGCTCTGTGGCGTGTACTTTCGTTTTCAATAAATCTGCCTTTGTTGCTTCATTCGTTCCTTGCTTTGTGCGTTTTGTCCAGTTCTTTGTTCAAAACGTCAAGAACCTGAACACCCTCCACCAGTGTTATTGTTGTTAGTAGTAGTGGTATTACTATTTTGACGTTAATTTGGCTAATAAATCTAGGGATATTTTGCATTATCTAGATGTTCTGCCAAGTTTTCTATACGTAGCTATCAGCCAAATTTGCAAAGGCCATGAAAAAAAAAATGATCAGAGTATGACCCATATCGTCGTGCCTCTCATGCACACATTGGTCTCACGTAATTTTGTTTCATCTCCTGCCAATTCTAAAAGGGTATGCAAGGCAAGATACTATAACCTATATAAACCTACATACCCTGTATCAAAACGACGTGCCTAAGAAGATAACATGCTAGTTGATGACAGAGCCTGAAGAGACACCTGTTCTGGATGACCTAAGTGAATTTCTCTTTTTATTTTGAATTCCTTAGAAAGAATCACCCTTGGGGCACGTAAGAACCGGCTCAAATGGGAGTGCCTGAAGCCGGGTGGGGTACTGGGGCCGGGGGGTGGCGGTGAGAAGGTGGGAGAGGAAGGGGTGGTTAGACTTTTAGGGATGCAGGCTTTGGCACCACTACGAAGCCAGGGTTTTCTTCGTGTTTTAACTCTGTCAGATTGAGAGTAGCTCTGTTGTAGCCCCTTTGCAGGGTTCCCATGAGACTCTTCCTAGGCAGTTACGTTGACTCGCTTAGCAACATAGCAAATTACAGAAACGGAATAAAAACGTAAGAAATCTCAAAGCGCGTGACGTATGGGATCTCACTGTTCTTGGCCCTTCTCCCGACCCGTAGCCCCGCTCTGTTACGACTGCGTGGGTGAGTCGTCTATAAAAACTCATCTCTGCGCGTCTCTTCGCCACACTCGTTTCCTGTTTTCGGCGGATCTGTTGTGGCTTGTTGCGGGCACCGCAGTGGCCCTGAAGATGGCGTCTACCAGCCGGTTAGTATGTCCGGCCCAGCCCGGCGAGCTGAGGGGCGGGCGCGAGCGCCGCGGGCTTTCAGGCGGCCTCCGGGCAGCCTAGTCGGACTAAGCACCGAGGGGTATGGGAGAGAAGCGACGGGACTGGCCGACCGGCCGGGACAAAGGCACTTCCAGACGGCAGGACTGTCAGGGTGTCGGAGGGGTTACCCAGCTGTTGACGTTATTGCTTCGGAGTCTTATGTCGTCTTCTCATGTAGACATCACCCTTTGTGGGTCCTGGTGGGCTTCTGTTTCCCTAGCCCTTGTCCTCGTCTTTTCTGAATATTTCAACCTCCCTTTATTTTCTTCTCCTTCTACCTCCGCCCCTCCCCCAGCTTGTTGTTTTCGTCTACGGCCCAAACAACCCGAGGTCCGTAATTTCTCCTTTTCAAAGGAACGGGAAATAGTTGGTTCCGGGTCCCTATCGATCTGACAGCTAGGAAGTTGGGAACGTCAGCATTGGTAAGCCAGATGGAACCAGGTTACCATCACAGCGGGCCTCGAAAGTGGAAGTTAGAGCCATCGGAAGAGTTGATTAGTTCCATGCTAAAGGATTTGTTTACAAATATCGTTGCCTGTGTCCTTCTGAAGAAAATCTTGCATAAGAAATTTAGTTATGTGTGCTGGGAGGTTGCTCTTCAGTATATATTTAAAAATGCAATGTACTCATATCTACAGGAAATGCATGCAGTACCCTCAGAGACAGCCTTTAATCTTGTGACCTGAAAAATGCTTGCAGACCCTAATTATATCTCTCATTACCACTATGAGGTAGATATTAGTATTTTTGCGTAAGTGTAAACTGAGTCATGCCAATGTTGACTTTACCAAGGATAGTGTTAGAGTGTAGAGTCTAAGATAACCTGTTTCTTGTTATCCACACCTGGCCTTTGGTTAACTAATGCTGTGTTAAAAGTATCAAATTAATTCTACAGGTTCTGGAACTCTGGCACCATTTTTCTGACCCTATCAGCTGTGAAATTGGTTAATTTCACAGTGAAAGCCATTTTTACAAAATAGCCTTTTCTGGTAACTGCCAAGACTTACATTTTATGGTTAGAAGAAAAGAATTTGGGGTGGGATGCGCTTTAGCTAATGTACTGTTTGAACAGAACTTATAAAGCCAGTGACACTCTTGTTTACTGATTCTGATTCTTGGATTGGATGCTCATTCTGTCTGGGTGGTGGTCTGTCAGGTGAGGCCTCCTTGTAGGTAAATGGAAAACTTTGGCTCCCCAAATCACTCAAATATGACTTAAATTCTGTCATGGCTTTTTAAGTCTGAATTTTTTTCTAGATATGTGCAATTTATGTATCATGGCAGTTATTGCTCAAGTTTTTCTATCAGTGACAAAGTTAAATGTAGAATTTTTTATTTTTTGGAACAGGCCTGGGCTGAAGTGCAAGTGGCACAATCATGGCTCACTGCAGCCATGACCTCCCCAGTTCAGGTGATCCTCCCACCTCAGCCTCCTGAGTAGCTGGGACCATAGGTGCACACTAATTTTTTTAGTGTGCCTGGCTAATTTTTTTATTTTTTAATTTTATTACTTTTTATTTTTGTAGAGACAAGGCCTAGTTACATTGCCCAGGCTGGGCCCGAACTCCTGGGCCCAAACAGTCCTCCGACTTTGGCCTGCCAAAGTGCTGTGGTAACAGGTATGAGCCACTATGCCCAGCCTAAATATATTATTTCTATCTTTTGCATGTTTTTCCCTCAGGAAGATGTATTGTTGCTAGGCCGTGAAACTGGCTGGTGACCTCACAGAAGAATACAAATATTTTGAGTTCAAATGTAAGCTTCGCCACTTACTAGTTCCATGACTTCAGGCAAATCATTCTGTGAGCATAATCTTTTAAAATGGGAAATAGGCCTTTCTTGCAGGATTGCTGTGGAGATTGACAATAATGAATGTGTAACACCAGCAATACAGTGCATACCCAATAAATGATAGCTCTAAAATGGGGTTTGGGATTATCTGGTACTTTAGATGTTTTAATGTCAGTGGTGGTGGTTTCCCTATTCCTCCCCATTGTTTCTCTCTGTTACCACCTGCGCCACCCCATTTGTATGGTTCCTCTTTTGTATTGTGGGTAATTTGGTTAAAAGTTTACTAATTTAGCATACTTTTATTTTGATAGGTAACACATACAAATGGTCCAAAAGCAAAATTACAATAGACTAAAACCATGAAAAGTAGGCTCTCAAGTCTCCCCAGATCAGCCATAGTTACTAGTCTTTTGGTGTTTTCCTCGTGCTTATGATTTAACAAGTGTATACAAATAGTTCTAACCTCTCTTCTCCCCAAAAGTGACCTGATTTAAACTCCATTCACTACCTTGCTTTTACCTTTTTTTAATGACATTAGCACGCAGATTTTAAAAGTGGGCAGCTCAGTCACAAAGTGAGCACATACATGGCTACTACCCAGGTAAGGAAATCAGATACCACTAGCACTAGCTAAGACACTAGCAAAGTCTCTGTCCTCAGTCATTCCCCCTCCCTTGAGAAAACCGCATCCTGATTTCTAACACCATCAATTTGTTTTGCCTGCTTTGAAGTTGGCATAAATGGCATATGTATTCTGCTGTCTAGCTTCTGTCAGTATTTTGAGGTTCATCCATGTTACAGTGTATGGCTAGTTTATACTTTTCAGCTTTGTATAGATTTTCTACCTTACTCCTCACTCTTCATATCTTTCAGATGTTTCTGTATCATTACATGAACTAGAGTTTTCTGTCTACTTTTTAATAGTGCAGAGTGTTAGTTCTTAGTACTGTGTTTAATGTGGCCTCCTCTTTTACTCATTTGTAATTAGTACTACTCTGCTAACATTTTCCTTTATTTCAACATAGTTTTTCGTAATTGATAACAACTGTTTGATTTTATTTGTCTTAATATATTAAAATACTTTCCTTAGAGGAATTTATAGAGTAATCACAAATATGAAGTAATACTTACCCCTGCGTTTTCCCAACGAGAAGATTCAAGACATGTTCTGGTTAAGCTGAGTAGATAAATTTGGAGGGGAATAGGGATTATTTTATCAGTTTTCCTGTAGATATCATCATCTAAGTTGAGAGTTAACCTTCTGAATGGTATTTGCTAACATGAGAAACTTTACCCCAAACCACAAATAACTATTTACATACTATAAGAACAGTTGATTTTTGTCTTTTACGTGCATCTGATGTCCATAACCTAACCATTTATTGTATTATTTCAAACGATTTTTAAAAGGGCCTTATTTGCAGTGCTACCAAGCATTTATGATTGGGAGGTCATACCCCCTGAAATAATGATCAAATATTTGTTGCTTTTACAGCTGATTCTGTCAGATCATTTATGATTAATGTGTAAAAAAAAGATGAACGTGTCTTCTGCAAACTGCTTTGTTGTTCAAAATAAGATAAATTGAGCTAATTATTAATATCACAGATAAATTTACAAGTAGCTTTTGAAACAATTCCTTGAATGATAAAAAATTCAGTAACTCAATTCTGGACTAAAGGAAATCATCAAGTCTTAAGTTCAGCAGAGCAACTTCTACCATCCCTCATTTCTATACTTACTGGGTTCAGTGTACTATTTAAATCTGTTACTAAAGTGGTTAACAAGTAGAAAAATACAGAGAGAAATTGTTGTCTGACTAGACAAATAAGTGGCAAAAAGCACAAACTGGATGGTAATGTAAATGCTGCAGGTTATTATGGTAGCTAGTCATTACAACACTAATCAGCATTTAAAAAAACCTTAGTAGACTACATATTAAGAGAAGAAACTAATTATTTTCTATTTATGTTTTGAAAGCCTTCCACAGTAAAATAAGAATTCCAGTGGAAACTACTTGCCAGTTACTAGCTAGAATTTAAAGTAACCTAACTGGGATGTTTACTTTGAAAATCTAGCTCACACGTGTTATAATCGTATGTATTGAAGAATGTTCACAATCTTTGTCTTCCCCATCCCGCGTCCCAGGAGATTACTGTGATACATGTTGATTGGGAAGATGTAAAAATACAACTTTTTTCTTTTAGTTTGGATGCTCTTCCAAGAGTCACATGTCCAAACCATCCAGATGCGATTTTAGTGGAGGACTACAGAGCCGGTGATATGATCTGTCCTGAATGTGGCTTGGTTGTAGGTGAGTTGTTATTATGGTTTTAATTTAAATTACTGTTTAGGAGGCCAAGCACCGCGGCTCATGCCTGTAATTCCAGCACTTTGGGAGGCCGAGGCGGGAGGATCACCTGAGGTCAGGAGTTTGAGACCAGCCTGACCAACATGGAGAAACCACATCTCTACTGAAAATACAAAAACTAGCTGGGCATGATGGTGGGTGCCTGTAATCCCAACTACTCGGGAGGCTGAGGCAAGAGAATGGCTTGAACCCGGGAGGCAGAGGTTGCAGTGAGCCGAGATTGCATTGCACGCCAGCTGGGGCAACAGAGCGAGACTCCTTCTCAAAAAAAAAAAAAAAAAAAAAAAACTTGTTTAGAGTTCTTCACTTTTGCATAGTTTCCAAACTGTTATTTAATGAACACATTTTGACTTTCTTCCCCAACAAATAATTTATTGCCAAAAAAAAAAAAAAGAATTAGGAAACAGAAATGAGTAAAGTTGTTTAGAAACATATTTTATTGTATATCCAAATTTATGTTTTTATAATGTCGGGTGGGAGCTAATCCAGAAGAAATGAAAAGGCCACAGTAATTTCCTAAGTCCTTCGTCTGAAATACTTGGTGGAGGACTGGAGAGATGGGCTGACACTCATGCATATTAAATAATCAAACTTTTGTGACTTTTTTATATGTTGAGAAGTAGATAAACATGATTTTTGAGTCTCACCGAAAGCCTTTTAGTCCAAAAAAAAAAAAGATTTATTATAACTTTTATATGGAATCATTTATTGATGAATGTCTAGTATAAAATTACTGTCAAAAATACCACTTAAAATTTCACCTTGTTCCTACCTGTGCACTAATTTAGATATGCAGCAGAACTTTAGACTGCAGATAGTCTGTTCAAAAACTATTCTTGTGGTGGCGTTGCAGCATCTGAGAATCGGGGTAATATTTAGCAGTTTGAATTACTTAAGAATGAAAACTCTAGAAGGATTGTGGGCAGTATAACAGAAGCATTAGTAGTGGCATACTGTGGAATTGTCTTACTTGGTCCAAGAAGGCTGTTTGCCTCAGACCTACAGTGGGAGTTTTAAAGTATAGAGTTGCTAATAGGGATTGAGAATCATTTGCTACTGTGTGCTGCTGAGTAAGGAATAGCCAATACATTTACTATATACTAGGTACTATTGTAAATGATTTACATACTCACTCAGTTTATCCTCACAACAAACTTGTGAGGTGAGTACTAACATTATCTTCACTTTGCAGATGAGGAAACTGATGTTTAGGTAGTCTAAAAGATTGACTCCATTGTCTGCATGGGAGGCAGATTTCTATCTTGTATTGCCTTTCATAATAATAAAATTTTAATCTGGGGTCATCAAAGTACAACCCATCACCTGTCTTTATATGGCCTATTTGCTAATATGGCTTTTACATTTTTAAATGGTTGAAAAAAATCATTATTTTGGGACATGTGAAAATACAAATTTCAGTATCTATAAAGTTTTTCTTTGTTTGTTTTTTGAGATGGAGTTTTGTTCTTGTTGCCGAGGCTGGAGTGCAATGGCGCAATCTTGGTTCACCACAACCTCTGCCTCCCGGGTTCAAGTGATTCTCCTGCCTCAGCCTCCCAAGTAGCTGGGATTACAGGCATGTGCCACCGTGCCCAGCAAATTTTGTATTTTTTTTTTAGTAGAGACGGGGTTTCTCCATGTTGGTCAGGCTGGTCTTGAACTTCTGACTTCAGGTGATCCGATCACCTCGGCTTCCCAAAGTGCTGGGGTTACAGGCGTGAGCCATTTCGCCTGGCCAAAGTTTTTTTTTTTTGATATGGAGTTTCGCTGTTGTTGCCCTCTTGTTGCCCAGGCTGGAGTGCAGTGGTGCGATCTCAGCTCACCACAGCCTCTGCCTTTCAGGTTCCAGTGATTCTCCTGCCTCAGCCTCCTGAATAGCTGGGATTACAGGCGCCCACTACTATACCCGGCTGACTTTTTGTATTTTTAGCAGAGACAGGGTTTCAGCATGTTGGCCAGGCTAGTCTTGAACTCCTGACCTCAGGTGATCCACTGGCCTCGGCCTCCCAAAGTGCAGGGATTACAGGTGTAAGCCACCACGCCTGGCCTGTTACCTATAAAGTTTTATTGGTATATAGCAACACTCAGTTGTTTACATAGTGTATGTGGCTCTTTTCGTATTACAACAGCAGAGCTTAGTAGCTGCAACAGAAACCATATGTGCAGCTCTCATCACTTGTTCTGCTGCTCAGCATACTAATTGCAGTGATGCAGTTATAACTCAGCAACATGTTGATCGCCACATATGTTGCCATACTGCACTGTTTTATTTATTTATTTTTATTACCATTACATATCCATCACACCAAAACAAAAAAAGTTAACTTTGAATGTCATGCTTTTAAGGCCTGGTGGAGTGTGGATTATTTTGCTACTGAATTAGATGGCAAAACAGTTGTGTTTATTACACAATGATACTGTAGCTGTGTTAAAAGAATACAGTAAGCGTGGACATTACCATACTGAGCACTCATTAGAATATTTCTAACTCAGGAAAACAATGGTCAGAAGATAATGTAAAATAGAATATCTTAACACAACATAATTTTTTCACAAAAATAAAAGAATGAAACTGCGGCTGCAACTGAAGTTTCTAAGTGGCTTATTTCTTGGCCAAGCAAGGACAGCCATTTACCAATGATAATTAATTCATATTTGATTGCAAGAGCTGAATATATGTGTCCAGAGAAAATAAATTTATTTAAGACTGTTAGCATCTCACCAAGAACAGTTGCTTGAAGAGTTGAGGACAGTGGAGCAACATCAGTAGTCAGTTAAAAGTCAAGGCAAATTATCTCAGGTATTTTTCTTTGGCTCTTGATGACTAGATTGATGTTATTGGTACTTTTCAGTTGTTTATTCAAGAAATCAGTGCTGGGCTGGGCGCAGTAGATTACACCTGTAATCCCAACACTTTCGGAGGCTGAGGGGGCTGGATCATGAGGTCAGGAGTTCAAAACCAGCCTGGCCAAGGTGGTGAAACTCTGTCTCTACTAAAAATACAAAAATTAGCCTGGCATGGTGGTGGGCATCTGTAATCCCAGCTACTGGGGAGGCTAAGGCAGAGAATTACTTGAACCCGGGAGGCGGAGTTTGCATTGAGCCGATATTGCACCACTGCACTCCAGCCTGGGTGATAGAGTGAGACTCTGTCTTAAAAAAAAAAAAAAAAAAAAAAAAAAGTGCTGAGCTTGTCAGAAGAACTAGCTCCAATGGGTTGTCTACATGGAGCAGCTATAGGAGAAAATAGCTTCAAAGCAGTTGCGAAAGTGTTAATTCAGTATAACCTGAAGTGGACTCTGCTAAAATTTATTATAACTGATAAGGGTAAAAATATATGTGGAGCAGAAGACTTAGTGGGACAGATTTGCCAAGATTGAAAATGTAAGGTGTTTAAACAGCCTGTTTATTATATTATTAATCAGCAGTACTTTGTTAGAGAAAACTTTAATCTACCTGGTGTTACTGAACCAGTAATTGTGAACAATGAACTTCATTCACTCTTGTGGACATAACTATCAATATCAGTTCTGTGACTTTTTTTTTTTTTTTTGAGACAGATTCTCACTCTTTTTCAGGCTGGAGTGCAGTGGTGCGATCATGACTCACTTCAGCCTCAACTCCTGGGCTCAAGCAGGACCTTGGCTAATTTTTTTTTTTTTTTTTTGGTAGAGATAGGGTCTCACAGTGTTGCCCAGGCTCGTCTTGAACCCTGGCCTCAAGTGATCCTCTTGTCTTGGCCTCCCAAAGTGCTGGGATTATAGGTGTGAGCTATCATGCTCGGCCAGTTTTGTGATATTTTTTGTTAGAAATAAAAGCTGAATATTTCTAACAAAATATTGTTAGGGTGACTTGTCTTAATGACACACTAATTTGGTGATTTAGCAGTAGTAAAGTTTTGTGATTTTTCTGAACTCAGGGGCCAAGAGTAAGATTTTTCTGAATCAGTACTGCCTTCAGCTACTGCTATTGAACACTGGATGGTTTTGAAAATTAGCTTTTGCTGCAAACTTGCTAATACTTCTTAATGAATTCATCATAGAGTTACAAGGCAAAATACTGCTTTTCTGTGAAACATAAACTGCGGTAAAGTCAATTTCACAAGTTAACGTTTGAATCATAAGTAATGTCAAATTGCTTTTATATACTTTATATACTTTCAGTGCTGTCAGAAGTTAAAATAGGATATTCATTACCACATAGATCTGCAGCAGATATATTTTCCAGGCTTAAGCTATATTTTCAGCGGTGTTTTTCAGACCTGAATGCAAATGCAAAGGAAATTTTCATATTTTAAAATTTGTTTTCATTGCACAGTTAAGGGGGTTCCATCTAACCTTCAATTGGTAGTGACTAATCTGCAGGGTAACAGTATGTAGGCCATTATCAGGAGAAGAATGTGATACAATTCTATAAATGCCTTCCAAGCAGTAAATATGCTCAATTAAAATCATACGCTTGTGGATTAATATTGGTATTTGGCAGTAATTATCTATGTGAAAAGAAAGTGAAATATATAAAATCTTGTCAGTACAACATCATTGACACATGAATATTTGTCATTCATTTTGATGATAGAGAACATTAACTTTGAACTCCAGTTAAGTGAAATGTTATCCCCAAAAAAGAGAATTTTATTCTTCTCATTAGTAGACATGTATTACAGTAAATTACCTAATTATTATATTTTAAATTTCAACAATAAAAAATAGTGGATTTTTTTCTTATTTTATATAAGTACCTACTTAATATCCTTAATTTTGCCTCTTGACCCACAAAGCCTAAAATGTTTACTGTGTCACCCTTTACAGAAAATGTTTGCTTAACCCTTCAGTTAAATGAGAGCCTTCCAATTCTTCCACAATGTTAAGATCAGACTGATAATGTGTACGAGTGAGACAGACAAAACTGAAGATAATTTCAGCTTCTTAGCTCTCCTAACC